CACTACTGCAGACGTTAACCACTCAACACATTATTGTGGAAATTTTGGGATGTCTGTTCTAAGAGAATGACCATACATCATGTCAACAGGGAGTAGGATTTTCCACCCAAACATGAGCAATTTTAGCAAATAACCTATAGACCTGTGTTTAGTTACCATGTATGGCATCATAACAAACAGTAATTGTTAATCCAAGTCAGTTCATCAGCAGTTAACAAATTTATGAAGCATAAGTTTGACAGTTTGTATCACTCATTTTGCTAATTCCATCAGATTGGGGGTGATAAGGCAAAGTGCATGACTTCACCATATCCAACACTTTAATAAACCCAAAGGAACATTGTCTTCTGAAATTTGTTCCCTGATTCATGTGGATCTCTTCTGGTGTTTAGGACCTGGCTATCCAATACTCCACCAACACATTCTCTATGAATTGAGCAGAAGTACTGACCAATGAACAAGCCTCAGCCCACTTCATGGAACAGTCAGTGGCAAGGCAAGGAGTATGTACTAATGATCTTATTCAGGCTCTGGAAATGGACTAGAAATATCCAAAGCTATCCTCTAAGAGGAGATCCAACAATTCTGTGCTGGAGTTTACACTGTCTCTAGGTAGCACACATAATATGATGTTTACATCAGTGCCAAACATCTGAATATGAATGTAGCCAGTATAACTGCTGTTGAATATTAGCACAAGTGTGGGTAATACCCTGGTGTCCTCCAGTCTTTGTGGTATGCAAAATTTGGATAATTTATTGCCTCAGAGTTTTAAAGACCACTAGCTGCATTATAATTTGAGAACCATGATTGATAAAGACAGTACAGCACACCTTCTACACTCATAATTGACCGTACAAGTGCTACAGGTTACATGTGTCCATATTACATTCCTTTTCTTGTGCAGGGCAAGTTATATTTTGCTGTACAACAAGACATACCAATGCAAGATCTGGGTCTTTCAGTTACTATTCACAGACTTTTTAAAATGTTAATTATGGCATCCATCCACCACTGAAATATCTCACTGCATATCTTGATTTTTCTATGGTGGAAATGGTTTCAAGTCCCACATGGTGTCCATAATCAGGATATTCCATGCTGCTAGACAATCTGTCCCATATTTCCTTACCATCATTCCTTCCAGAGTTTTAATTTCATTAACCATTGCAGCAAAGCACAGTCCACCTAGATGGTGAACTTCTTAACATACAAGTAGTGTTTATAGTATTTTACAAAGACTATAAGTGCAAACAGTTATTTTATCATATAATATCTGTATTCAGGAGCCATGAGCATAAGAATAGCTAATGCAATTACACATACTATTTCATTTTGCAACTGTGATAACACTACCCCAGTTCCATTATCACTGATAATTTTGTCCAATAGGAACTTACTGCTTAGCATGAATATGCCAGCAGTGGACACTCCACTCAAGCAAGCTTTAGGAATCAGAATGCTTATTCAGATTCCTTGCTTCATCCAATGTGCATCTAAATTTTAGTGAAAGCAGACAAGAGTGATGCTATCTTTCAGAAATTGGCCACAAACTATCAGTAATATGATGCAAAACCAGGGTAATTGAAGACTTCTCATTTGGTCACAGATTGAGACCTGTCTCTCACTACTGCTACAATAGCAGGGTCTGTAGAAATTTCATTTATACCTACAATATGACTGAGAAATTCCACTTGTGCATGCATGAGTGCATGTTTTGCTGGTTTCATTTTCAAACCTACTTTCTTTATCAAGTGAAATACCATTCTCAGATTTTCAGCTGCAGACTTACACATGCAACCAAATACCAAATGTAGATCATGTATCTTTCCTATTGTATATCCTTTAGTGTAAGTTCTATTAGTCTCTTGAAAGTGATGAGCATGGTATATAGGCTGAATGTCACAACACAAAACTCATACAAGCCTCCTCTTATGCTAAAAGTAGTCTTAGACCTTCTCTTGTCATTCTGATTGATTTGTCAGTATCCATATGCCAGACCTAAAGTACTGAATTAACAGGCATGATGGTTGCTCGATCAGATATGTGTTGCCTATAGATAACAGTAAATCACCATTGCTTGACCCAGTCAGTGATTTGATTCCACAAAACCATTGGAATATTCAATCAACAAGTCCCTGAGTTGCTTTTTCTATGTTGGGTCCAAATTGTTTGCATAATCTTTAACCAATGATCTCAGATGTGTTGGCAGACTATCTCTCTCGGTATGTCTGCCAAAGACTCTTGCATGCCACTAGCCTTGATGCAACTGCTGTCTAATTTCACATGATTTCTAGTGAATTATGCCACTGCAAGATGACAACATCATGCGACAAAAGCCCTCCACCAATAGGAGGGTGACAATCTCCATGCACTCTAACTCCTTTTATGCATTTGCACTCACGAATCTTCATTCTTTGATGAAGCAAGTAAGAAAATATGCACTAGAATAAAAAGTGGATGGGTGATAATGTGTGCGGAGGTGAGTATTTATCAGAAATACATTTTCAGGTAAGGCAAAAGACAATATCTCACCTCCACATACGAATCAGCTAGAATCCTACATTGATATAGTGGAGGGACCAGTGCAAAATTTGCATCACAGGGATGGGCTGAATTGGTACATGGCCATCAGAGTAATGCACACATGTTGTCAGACAGCCAATACACTATTGACAAGTATCCATGATCACCTCAACCCTACTGTCAGACTCTGCCAAATAAACATTAAATAACATAAACGGTCTGCTCGTTATTATACATATATGCATGCAGTAGATTATGAGGCTCCATATACAGACTACATTAAAATGACTGGGTGTCAATGATTATATAGCTTCTGTTATTTGCTAGATAGTCATATAAACTTAAAAACTACAATGCCCAAT